TCATGGTCTTCATGGCCCATGCGTGTCCTCTGGCGTTGTCCCACGTGTCATGGTCCCATGTGTCATGGTCCTACACGTCATGGTCCCACACATCATGGTCTTCATGGCCCACGCATGTCCTCTGTCATGGTCCCACGTGTCCGTGTCCCACGTGTGTCACACATGTGCCACAGTCCACATGTCCCATATGTGGTCCATTCCGTGTCCCACCCATGTCCTGGCCACACTTCAGACCCCACATATCACCCACGGGCCACGTTCTCATGGTCCCACCACCTCACCACGTGTACCATGCGTGTCCTGGCCATGCCACAGACCCCATGTCCCACGTGTGGGCCACCATCTCGTGGTCCCACCACCTCTCCACGTGTCCCACACGTGTCACCCGCCCGCCGCAGGGTCACCAGCATCCGCCTGGGCAAACACAACCTCTACACGCGGGAGTGGGGTGAGGAGCAGAAGATGGTGCAGAAGCTGCTGCCCCACCCCAGCTACGACCCCACCACCAAGGACAACGACATCATGATGATCAAGCTCATGACGGCCGCCACCCTGACCGACCGCATCCAGCCCGTCCCCGTGGCCTCCTGCCTCCCGGAGCCCGGCACCACCTGCACCACCTCGGGATGGGGGGCTGTCACCTCCCCAGAAGGTACTCAGCACCCCGGGGGGACCTTCTGGAGGTCTTGGTCATCTCCTGGAGGTTTGGGTCCTCTCCTGGGTCCTCTCCTGGAGGTCTTGGTCCTCTCCTGGAGGTCCTGCTCATCTCCTCGAGGTCTTGGGTCCTCTTCTGGAGGTTTTGGTCCTCTCCTCAGGGTCTGGGTCCTCTCCTGGAGGTCTGGGTCCTCTCCTGAGGGTCTGGGTCCTCCCCTGGAGGTCTTGGGTCCTCTCCTGGTTCCTCTCCTAGAGGTTTTGGTCCTTTCCTGGAGGTCCTGGTCCTCCCCTGGAGGTCTTGGGTCTTCTCCTGGAGGTCTGGGTCCTCTCCTGAGGGTCTGGGTCCTCTCCTGGAGGTCTGGGGTCCTCTCCTGGAGGTCCTGGTCATCTCCTGGAGGTTTTGGTCCTTTCCTGGAGGTCCTGGTCCTCTCCTGGAGGTCTTGAGTCCTCTCCTGGGTCATCTCCTGGAGATCTTGGCCCTCCCCTGGAGGTCTTGGTGCTCTTCTGGAGGTCTTGGTCATCTCCTGGAGGTTTGGATCCTCTCCTGGAGGTCTGGGGTCCTCTTCTGGAGGTTTGGATCCTCTCCTGAGTCATCTTCTGGAGGTTTGGGTCCTCTCTCGGAGGTCTTGGGTCCTCTCCTGATGGTCTTGGGTCATCTTCTGGAAGCTTGGGTCTCCTCCTGGAGACCTGGGTCCTCTCCTGGGGCTCTAGGTCTCCTCCTGGTGGTCTAGGTCTTCTTCTGGAGGTCTGGGGACTCCTTCTGGAGGTCAAGATCCTCTCTTGGAGGTTTGGCTCTTCTCCTGGAAGTCTTGGTCTCCTCTCCTGGAGGTCTGGGTCCTCTCCTGGAGATCTTGGTCCTTTCCTGGACACCTGGGTTCCCTCCTCGAATTAAGACAAATAAAGTGAAATTATCCAGAAATGGGAAAAAAAGAGAAAATTTAAGAGGGGGAAAAAGAAAATTAAGAAGGGGAAAAAAGAAAAATTTAAAGGAGAGGAAATAAAATTTAAAAGGAGATAATTTTTTTTTAAAAGGACAAAATAAAACTAAAAAGGGACAAAATAAAATTGAAAAGGGGGAAATTAAAAGTAAGAAGGGACAAAATAAAATCGAAAAGGGACAAAATAAAATTTAAAAGGGAAAAAATGAAATTTTAAAGGGGAGAAAATAAAATTTTTAAAAAGGACAAAATAAAACTAAAAAGGGACAAAATAAAGTTTTTAAAAGGACAAAATAAAATGCAAAAGAGGACAAAATAAAATGAAAATTAATTTAAAACCCCAAAATTTAAAAAAAATAAAAGAAAAAAAGAAAAAGTTGTCATATCCTAAAATAAATTTGAAGGGGAAAAAAATCTAAATTCTAATGAAACAAGACAGAATTTTGGAGAAGTCTCCCAAAGAGACCCGATTTCTGGGGGTTTTTTCATCCACCTCCGAAATTTACCCCCCAA